ATTTATATAATGTTTCTTTGTAAACAACAATATACTATACTTAAAATTTTTAAGTGTACTGAACTGCAATTACTTTTAATTTTTTTGGTTTAGTGGCTTTTGTTAAAAGCTTTTAAATTTTGTGTCAAATTATCTCAATTTAACATCATCGTTGTATCATCCATACTGCAGCTATTTTTCAAACACCTTAAGGAAAAAAAAATCAATTTTGACTTTTTTACAATATAAGCTAGTTTAGATGTCTATAAACGTTATTGAATACTTATTTTCAAAGAGTTCTGAAAAAATTCATAAAAATTATTTGTTTCAAAAAACGTTTTACAAAAAGTTTTTCCTAATAATTTTTTTTTTAATGCGTTTTTTTCGAAATACATAATAAGCATATTAAGGCATTTTGAAAAACTGCTGCAGCATATATTTATAGTAAAAAAATAAATGTAGCAAAAAAAATTTTAAACTGTCAAAAAAAAGTTTAAAATTTTTTTTTTTAGCTACAGACTTTTTTTTTTTGATTTCTAAGCAGCACCTTTTGTAGTAGCAGGATAGTCTTAAAAAGTTTTTTCTTTATTAAGTTTCATACAACTTTTTTTTCAGACCATCCACAGCTTATTAGAACTTATTACCTGAGTACATTAATAACATAAGTATTTCAATCATGACTCATACGCAACAAATTTTTTCTCTTGGTGTTTTGATGTTTTTAGAAATATTAGCTTTTTTAAAATCTTTTCGTTTGTTAAAATGTATAATATTGATGTATTCATATGTTTGTATATAATCTCTATAAAACTTCAAAAGTATTTTAAAATAATCAAAAATTTTTTTTTAAATGTTGTCAAGACTCAAACCATGTCTTACTTGTTCAGAAGCTCAAAATCTCATTGCGCTATCCACTCGGCTATGCTGGCACGTTGTTAAACAAAATTTTTTAAAACTATATTATGATTTTTTTCAAGAGAAATAAAAGTTATAGATCAAAATTAAGGAGAGCTTGACACAATGCAATTTTTAAGTTTAACTGTAAAACTTGATAAATGTTTAGGTTTGTTTTAACATTGCTTAAATTGAAGTTTTGCGTATATTAGATATTTGCATACTTGTTCAAAGTGCTGCAATTCTTTCTCGTCACTCTTTTGGTTGCAATGGCTGCCAAGGGTTCCGTGTCAAACACGCTTGAATGAGCACTAACACTACTACTACTAACACTAACACTATTAAGTTTGGCAATAATATATAAGATAAAAATACAAAGATATAATAAATAAAATAAGATGTATTTCTATAATAAAAAGATTTATTTTCTATTTTGATATTTTTAATTAACTGTTAAATGCTTTTATGTAACATAATTTTATATGTAAAATTGTTAGCATTATCCTGAACACTGTTACTATGAAGGTAAAATTCGTGGAATAAAAGATTCAAATGTCTTCATCAGCACTTGTAGCGGTGGATTAATGTATGTACCATCATTTGTTATATATTTTATATGAGATAGATCACTATGCATTTTAGTAGTAGTTGTGCTATTAAAAAAATATATTTGAAAAAATACTTTTTATAAATATGTTTGATCTTAAATTTTTTTCAGAGGAACAATTGATGATGGAAAATCAAGCTACGACATATTGCCACAGGTATGTTTCATTATTATTTGTATTTGTTTAAAAATGTTATTTCAGTTTTCAAAAGATAAAGGGGAGAAGGAGAGTAGTACAAGTAATTTTTAAAACCTTTTCCCCATTCTTTTTAAATTCTTTTGTCTTTCTCCCCTTCTTTCCATAAAACAATTTTCCATAAAAAAATACAAATAGAAGGTGTATGATATAATTTTTTATTTTGCATATGATATAAAAGTTGTTAAGAGTAGCTGAACCACTACTATTCATATTTTTTTTCATAAAAATATTTTGAAGTATAAAAAACTATATTAGTCAAATTTTCTATATTGTTTCTATATATATATATATATATAAGATTTTTTATCAAGGCTAATGGAAATGGTCATAGTTTTCACAATGTTAATGATCTTGTCAAAAAGACTTTAAAGAAACTAAAAAAGAAAGATGAAAGTAAATTTATGTTTGATTTATTATAATTATTTTACAAACCATGACTTGAATTTGTTAGATTTAATTTTGAAATATATGATCTATAAGAATTTTAATAGAATAAAAATAATTAAAATTATTTTTGCAGCAAGTGTTTTACTGTTAGAAGTATGATCATTTGCTCTCTTGCATGGAAGTTTTCAATCCCCATAAAGCACATTAGAACTTTAAATCTCTGTGTGGAAGCCAAAAATATTCTACACCTGTTTTAAAATTGGATTTAGTGTGATTATACTAAATGAATAAAGTGCATCACAGTAAATTTAGCTATAAACTGCAAGATTTTCTGAATTTATAAAATACATCATAAACTTTAATCCAAAATAAATAGTAAACTTACTCAAATAAGTAATAAAAATTAGTTTGCTTTAGTTTATCTAAGCTGTTTATCACTAAGCTGTTTTTCACATTTTAGTACTCCTTTCAAAATGATATTTTACAAATTCTTAATTTTTAGTTTATAAAGAATTTTGTTGAACGACATCATTTGCTAGAGATATTTGCTGAATACTTAAATTTTTAGTTAAAAATATTTATTAAAAAAAGACTTTCGTTTAATTTTTTTTAAAAATATTAAAAAAAATTAAACGAAAGTCTTCACGCACATTTTTTGAATAAAATTTGGATGGCATAACATTTAGAACTAAAATTTGAATAGAAAATCTTTTTAAAAGCATAACAAGCTTTATATCAATAGAAAGCTAAACAAATGAACTTTTTATTTAAATAAGTTTCTAACACGCATCATTTAACAATAAGAAATGTAAAGTACTTAAAACCATTGTTTTATAAATAGTAATTAAAACAGTAAGTTCAAAACAAAACAATAAAAAATGTATGAAAAAAATATTTTTCTTCAAAAGACATTTTTAATTAGTTAAATACTTATAAATTTAATTACTTAGTTAAATACTTATAAATTTAATTACTTAGTTAAATACTTAAAATTTAATTACTTAGTTAAATAATTATAAATTTAATTACTTAGTTAAATACTTATAAATTTAATTACTTAGTTAAATACTTATAAATTTAATTACTTAGTTAAATACTTATAAATTTAATTACTTAGTTAAATACTTATAAATTTAATTACTTAGTTAAATACTTATAAATTTAATTACTTAGTTAAATACTTATAAATTTAATTACTTAGTTAAATACTTATAAATTTAATTGCTTAGTTAAATACTTATAAATTTCTACAAGTTAAATTTTACAGGGTTAATGCTGCTTTAAACTAAATTTAAATAAGTCTTATTTACTCAAGTTTTATAACTTTGTCAAGTTATAACTTTTTAACATAACCCAATATGGCTCTTATTTGTTCATTATTTTATAATATAACAATATATATAACAATGAATATAACACAAAAATAATTTATAGCAATAAATGAGCTTAAAATATCTAAAAATATTTATTCAAAATTTTAATGCGAGCTTCACAAAAATTAAAAATAAAATAACTTAAGAAATTCTAAGGTATTTTATGATGAAAAAAAACTTTTATATAATAATAAGTAACAAAAAAATTTTATAATTTGATTAAAAAAAGAATTTTCAGATTTCTTATCGAAATTCTACAATGAGGTCATTTGCTAAATCTCTTTGGAAATAAACGGGCTTAAATAAATTGTTAAGTCTGTAGATTGCCACATATATTTTAAAGTCTTTGAGAGATAAGCTAACATGGAAACAGCAAGCTTTGAGTAGAATAACAAAATATTTTTTTTCTTGATATACCTTTATTTTTACATTTTTACATCATTCTCCTAAAATGAACACAACTTTTCTTGGCCTTTTGGGATCCCTTTAAGTATCTAAATAGGCTAGTAAATTAAAAAACAAACAACCAACAACAAATACTGAAAATAGAGAAAATGCTCATGATTGAACGCTAACATCAAAAAACTGTTAGGACAGAGAAATATATATTTTTTAAGATAACCGGTAAAACTAAAAATTGGTAAAAAAAATTGGTGGAAATACAAACGATTATGCAACCACTGTAATAATGTAATTAAACAGGCAAAATCTAAATACCACAAAAAAAAAAGCGACGGGTTCTGACGGTCTTCCTTTTGTTTACTTAAAGACTCTGCAACAGCAATCTCTAAACAAGTTACACAGTCAATTTTTTATCTTCCTATTATATATCATATATCATATTATATATATCTTCCTATATCAATCTTACCAATTTTATCTAAAATTATGTAAAAAGCTGTCCGTTATCAGTTACCAGAATACATTGAAAGTAATGTTATGTTGACTCATTCTCAAATTAAAATCGACACAATCTGCAGTTACAGTGCTAACTGATGGAAAAATATTGGCAAAGGAAATCTTGTAAGCAGTGTATTTGTTGATTTAATGAAGGCTTTTGACACTATAGGCCATGATTTTCTTCTTATAAAAATAAAATTAAATTTATTAGCTGGTTCATCTGCTATTTTTTTGAAAGAAGTCAAAAGGTTTTTTCTTGCTAATAAATATTCTAAAGAGTTTTATTTAACAAGTGGAGTACCGCAGTGTATTTTTGGACCACTATTGTTTTTTTTATTTATAAAAAATTTTCCTGAATGTCTTACATCAGCAAGAACAATATTATATGCAGACCATGCCATCATATACTATAGTCATAAACATCGCAAGACTATTCAAGAGTCTTTAATATTAGAATCGATCGGTGTAGTAAATTACTTTAATTATAATGAACTAATAATTAATCTGAATGTGGAAAAATGGAAGCAATCCTATTTGGATCCGCAAAAAAGTAAAAAAAGAATGTAATTTGTTTAAGTTACAAACAAGAAATAATTAATTTTGTAAAATTATATAAATACTAAGGATGTAAATTGGATCCAACACTTTCTTTAAAAAATCAATTCAATGATAGTTATAGAAAAGCGTGCAGTCGTTTAAAATTGCTGAGGAAATTAATGTTCTTCATTCCTGCAAAAACAGCTTTCCAGATTTATCTACAAATGATTGTTCCAATATTAACATACAATTCCAACATCAATCTCAATTTTACAGCAAAACACAAAGCCAAACTAAGTTCATTCGACAGAAAAGCAAAAGGTATAATTGGTAGCCATCACAATCTTAAGGAAATTGAGAAATTCATCTAATAAAACTCAGGCTTATTTGTAAAAATATGTTTAAATAATGAACTTTATGAAAATTTTATCATTTCGAAACCATTAAATATAAGAAATGTACCAGACAAGCAATATTGTTGAGACTTTAGGAAATAAAACTCAAAATGACAAAAAATTCTTTTTACTTTGCAAAACTTTTTTAACGCGTTACCTTCGGACATTGGAAATACTGCAAAACTCATATTATTAAAAAAAAAAACTAAACAACCATTTTTTTTAAAGCAGCATTGACATGTACTAAATTTAATACTTTTTATACTTTTTGTTATTTTTTGGATAGTTAAAAATTCTTTTTACTATTGGTTTCCTACTTTTCCAGCTCTTTCAATCTTTTATTTACTTTTTTCTGTGGCTCGACAAAAATTCAAATAATTTTTATTAAGAGAGAAATGGGCAGTTTAAAATAAAGACTCAAAATTTTTTTTTTTTTTTTGTTAATTACTTAGTAGTATCTTATTCCTAATAATGATTTTTGTACAAATTTTTTGCAATTTCAGGATTTTAGATTATGACAATACAGTTTTTTTAAGTAAAAAAAAAAATTTAAAAACATTTTTGAAAAGTTTTATTTAATATTTCTTTGAATTTAATTTTTTATAAATGTAATTTGCCTCATGTCACTTTTAAAAATGTAAAAATTATAAAGTGAATTACATATTTATAACTTGTCATATATGAAACGTTATTTACATTTGTTTGTTTAATAGTATTTATATAATTTGTTATACATGTTTTAAAGACTTTAAACTTTTTTTTAGTAAATAATAAACAAGAAAAAAATATCAAGAAAAGAATATCAAGAAGTATTTCCTCTTCAGTTGTAAGTTTGTATTGTGTATTTTTAAATGAGATGTTTTGTTATTATCTTTATTTTCAATAGAAAATATAGATATGGTTTTATTGTTTCTTTTGGGACCAATTAAATTATAGTTTTATTGTTCCTTTAGGGACCAATTAAATTATTGTTTTATTGTTTTTTCAGGGACCAATTGAATTAGTTGATGTTGAACCACAATATCTTTCTTATATTACTAAAAATGAAACACTTTTTGTTGAAATGTTTGTTAGCTGCGATCACAGAATGGTAAATATTTTAAATTTACATTTCTGTGAAGTAATTTACAATAAACAAAAATAAAAAATTTGTTTTAAGTTTTAAATAAAGATAAAAAGTTTGTTTAAGTACTTTACGATAAATAAGAGTGAAATAATTTTATTGTTATAAATAATAATTGGATTTTAATATAATTTTTTAAAAAAATCGTATTTACTTTTTCACTTATCAGTTAAACTGACAAGTGAAAAAGTAAACGAATGTATTGAAACTGTTCATAAAATTATTCACAACAAGCTGCAGTACAAGAAAACATGTGCAAGATGGGTGTCCAAACAACTCATAATTGTTCACAAAGAAACCTGGCTTGTCTCGTTAATTATTAAACAATCTTCATACTTATATAAGCTCTTTTTTCTATATAGTCTATTAACTATTAATTTAATAATTTTTAAATGAGACTTTAAAGAGTGCAAAAACTAATATTAAATTTTAAAAATAGAAATTTATTTAATTAATAAGTTGACTATAAGCAGCTAAGAAAAATTATAAATATTATTTTATTTAAAACCACAAAAATATTTTTAAGGGGATGTTATAAGTTTGTTGCATTGTCTTAATTTTAACTAAAGCTGAAGACTAGAGGGTTAAAAGTACCTTTGTAAAAAATTACCAATTTTAGTATAATCCAGTTAAAATTATCAAACTGACCGTGAAATTAGGCGCACCAATACACTTCAGATATCTGCTACATATTTGCAATATTGTAATGAATTAACCTACTTATTTTTAATCCATAAACCTTAATCCTTTAAAAGATATGGGTAGTTTAGTTTTTGGATTTTTTGTCATATTAAAAATCTTGGTATTTTTTGCTTAAAATTATGTTATTTATACATCTCTTTTTATTACATAATGAAACCAGTAGAAAACACATCAAACTCACTATATATCATTACAATAAAAAGATTATAAATAAAAGAATTTTATTTCCGTAAAGTCCGTAAAGTAAAACTTATTACTACAATAAAAAAATTAAAGAAGTTAATTTTATGTCTTCAGTCACTTATGTCTCCCATTATATCTTTGCCACGAACATCACTATAAAAACTAACTCCTTATAGTAGATTGACATGGTTTAAAAGTTCTCAAGTGTTATTAAAAATTTCCAGTTTTGACTGGAAAAAAATTTAGGTATACTTGAGTAGATTTAAATAGAAGAAGAGTTGAAAGTTTTTTTCCACATATAATAGTATTTCATGACATCTGAAAGTTCTGTTGTCATTGAAATTTGACTTGGTGATAACTGGGGTTGTTCAAACCTTGTTCCTCTCACTCACTAATGCAGTTCCTGGTTTTAGCAAATTATCATATGCTTTTTTAAAGTCAAGTACATTTTTTTCTTTAAGTTGATTTAGGTGCCCCAAGAAGTCCTTACGGTCTTATCACAGAGCACCGAGGATGAGCATTTAATAGGAAGTTCATGCCTCCTTCCCAACTGATGTCGCAAAACTTGCCTAGAGGTGGGGTTTGAACCACGGATCTTACGTTTCTGAGGCAAGTGGGCTACCACTGTGCCACGGCTGCATTAACAACTGATGTTCCATCTTTATCTTCAATCATGTTATCTGTTGAAGATGTTCCACCTAAAAAATAAATGATTTTTTAGTATCTGCCTTTATTATGAGTAATACAAAGGTGTACCCTAATGGTCGTCTGGTGGCACGAGACAATTAGTTTTCTCCAAATGCAACTGAAATTAAAAAAAAATGCCTGTCAGTAGTCTGATAGGACAACCAGACAGTCTGTTACTTTCAAAAGTGTGTTTATTATTATAAAATTTATTTATTATAAAAAATGTTATTATAAAAGCATATTTTGATCTATAAAGATTTTATTCTTTGCAATTATTTAAAAGAAAACTTTAAAAAGCATTCAAAGTAGTATACACTTTCTTTGTTATACATAATTTAAATTTATTTTCTAAACTTAACTTTTTTTTTTGATTCCAAATGCTAATGTATCATTTTTTAAACCTTATAAATAATTATTAAATCACATGAATGGGCAGTTGAAGTTTAACTGTAAATTCTTTTTTTCTAAAAAAAAAACAAGTCTTAATATAATGAAAAATATTTAAAACATTAAAATCATGTTTTAAACATTCAACTAAATTAAATTTGATTGAAAATTAATAATAATAGAATATTTTCGTTTTATAAATTCTTTGCGGTTCTGGCTTTAATCTTTTTTGCTTCACATAATGAAACCTTTGATTAGATTGACAAAAAGAAGCAACACGAAACAGATATTGACTTCAACAAAAGAAACAACATGAAACAGATATTGACTTGATGATGATCTTTAAAAGTTTTAATTATAGTTATCTCTTTTCCAAATCTCTTTGTAACGTTACTTAACAACATTCTTAACCAGGTTATAAGGTTTCACTTTTTTTTTAGCTTTATTTTGGTGAGGCGTTTAAATTTTTTTTCTCCAGTATTTTCACCAGAGAAAAAAATACAAAAAAAAAACTATTATACCAGGCTACTGATTATTATAGTGGAGGACTCAAAGGGCGACCATGAAAAAATTTGAGGGTACACCCCTGTAATATCCACTTTAAATGTAAAAAAACCTTTTTTCTTCTCCTTTTTAAATGCGCCAAAAATCCTGATCACAAGGCATTTGACTATGTCCTTGGAGTGGATACTTTACATAAGTTTGTGTTATAGAAAAATTTTTATTCACCATAATTTTAATTTATTTTCACTGTCATAAATGCACAAGTTTCAAATCTGAATTTATAACACTCGTGCCTAATTCCAGTTAGAAGAAGTAGTAAATTTTTTTCAAATTCAAACAGATCACTGCAGTGTCTTTGTTTATTTTTGCAGCATTTGTGGCTTCCTTGATTTGTACATTAAACCAGTTTTTTTTTTATGTGAAACACATGGTAAAATTTCAAATTGTTTACAAGGTTGACATTATTTATAAATTTTTGCTGCTGTCATTTGTGCCTAAAATTGTTCACACTTATCACATATGTTACTCCTTGAAAGCCCAATTTGAATATTGAATTCAAAGTTAAATGTCATGGTAAATTCAGTATTTACAATAATTAAGTGTAAAATCTGTATTTTCTTTTTAAAAATAGGTGATTCATTTCTGCCACTGTCCGAGAAAAATCGAAGTATGTTTTTTGCATTTGTTTTACAATCAGCTGTAGTTGCTTTTACATACAGGAAACAGTCTAATGTGTTCACAAACGCAATCTCAATTTTTTTAAAAATTTTTTATGTTTCCATTATTTGCTCGCACCATCTTAAAAAAAACAGCAAAGCTAAGCACTTTTCTCTTAAGCCTAGATTCCTTTATTCCATGGATAGCAAGAAATGTTATCAAATATCAAACTATGTTTGTTAAGAAACAAAAATAGTTTGATCTTTTGCAGTGGCTAAATAGAAGAAGCTGTTTTGTTCTTTGCTAACATTATTTCTGGGCCTTTGAGGAAGTCAGAGGAGTTTACAGGGGTTATATTTATGCAATTCTGCAGATATGTGTTTTGTTAATTGTGTTCTTTAGGAGTTGAAAATGCAAAAAAATTTGTTCTTTTTTAATTTCTGTGAATTTAGTCAGTTACAACTAGTGAATCCAAATCCGAATTTCGGAATTCCGAAATTCCGTCATATTTTGAATTTTTAAAAATCCGGAATTCAAAAATGTAAATTCTGGATTTTTCGAATTTAGAATTTCGATTATTTAATTCTTATTTTATTTTTGAAGTTATTTAGAACTGTTTTTATAAAAATTTCAAAAAAAACTTTTGTTTTGTTTTTATATTATGTATTTCTTCCGTTCTAAAAATTTTAATTTTTATTACTAAAAACGTTTTTAAACAACAAAGTTGTCATCCTCAGTAGTATAATACAACAGTTTTTAGTAATAAAAATGAAAATTTTTAAAACGGAATAAATATATAATATAAAAACAAAACAAAAGTTTTTATTTGAAATTTTTAGAATTTTGAATTTAGAAGAACTTTTACTATAGATGGCAGCATTGTGTACTTTCATTGTTATAAATTCAAAAAATTTAAATTTTAGTATTCTTAGGCTACTGCAAATGCATTAATTTTTTTTTTAATGAAATATTAACATTAAGAAATTAAATTGTATGCAGAGCAGACAAAGTAAGTCATTATATTAATTTTATCTTTCAAAAATTTTGTAGACTTACATTGTTATTGTTTTAAATCCCAACCCAAGTATGGTAGATAAATCTGAAGAAACTTTTATGGACATTTCAAAAGAAAGCTCATCAAATTCAGTGTGGAAATATTTTCTACGAGGGAAAACAAATCAGGTGGCGAAATGCATGCAATGCAAGCAAGTTTTAAAGTTATTGGGTGGATGTACAACTCCCGTGCACACACATCTTCGTTCTACCGCAAACAAACCGCAAACACAGTTTGCGGTTTTTTTTGCAACATGGTCAATTTGCGGCTGATAATTGTTTAAAATTGTTAGAGGACAAGTTAGAATCATTTCAGTTAAATATAATGAACGATATTTCGTGTATTGTAACTGATGGTGCTTCTATGATGCAAAAGTGGGTAGATTATTACCATGTGAACAAATTTTGTGTTTTGCTCATGCAATTCAGATTGCAATTGTAAATGTGATCTACAAACAAACAGAGAAAGAGGTAGATAAAGATGATTATGAGAGTGTCCTAGATCTGGACTCTGATGAAGAAGATTTAAGTGATGATGAAGGAATGCAAGTGGGGACGAGAAATGAATGTGATGTAGAAATTACTGAAAAGTTTACATTGCGAAATGTAATCATGAAAGTTCGGGTAATTGTTTGAATGTTTCGACGTTCCCCTTTAAAAAATGACGTGTTGCAAAAACATGTGAAGGAAGATCATGGAAAGGAATTGCAGCTATTGCTTGATTCGAAGACTAGATGGAGTAGCCTGATGTCCATGTTAGAACGTTTTAATCTTTTGAAAAGTTCAATAAAAAAGGCAATAATTGATATCAAAGCGGATACATTTTTGAATGATTCAGAATAGAATATAATATCTACAGATTCTAGAAATTTGAAGCCTATAAAACTAGTCGTAGACGCATTATGCCGTGCTGATGCAAATTTACTTTCTGCGGATGCAACAGTTAGGTTTGTGTTAGAAAATTTTGATTAGAATGAAGAAATTGGCCGTGAAATGAAAAAAGAGTTTGAAGTTCAAATTAATCAAAGAAGAACTGTGGTATCTGATGTTCTTCAATATTTGCATAATGGGGGTAAAACCAAAATTCACAAGAACATTTTGCGTCGCTCGAAAACTGAAATTAATAAAATTATCATATCCCTAATCCAAAGACTTAGTGGTGAAGTAGCATTAGAAATAAAAAAAATACAAATTTATTTAATGCATTTCTTGATTTTTATGAAAACAAATGTCAATATGTGAATTTACAAAATGTTTGTGTGTCTGCATATATATTTACACACAGAAAAATTTTATAACTGTGTCCCATTATTCTATTAAACTAATTGTATTAAGTTTCTATTAAACTAATTGTATTAAATCTTTTTTCTTGCCAATCATTGAATCATTTGGCTTGATGACCAAGTGATTTAAGGCAAGAAAAAAGAACTTAATACAATTAGCTTTTAAAATTAAGTTGTGAGTCTTCTTTTTTTGGCTTTTGATTTAAATTCAGGTAAGTTTTTTCTCCCATTTTATTTTAGTTTTTCAACTAAATTCAGTTATGATGAAATCAGGGGTGGATCTAGGACTTATTTCTCCTTTGGAAAAGTTATTTGTGTAAATATTACAATCCACCCCCTCCCCCTATTCAGCCTAGCAACCCCAATACCCTCTCATTAGTTTATTAATTGTAATTATTAATTGTAAAAAACAATTATTATAACTGTTAAAGTTATAATAAAAATTGTTTAGTTGCAGTTTTTAAGTTTTTATATATTTTTTGCAATATTTTTTTTTTGTTTTTTATATTTTAATTTTGACTAAAATTTTGATTAAATATAAAATATTTTTATTCAAACTTTTAATCTCTTTGTTTTAGTTACCTACATATAACAACAACCATTATCTGTTGATCGAAAGAGTTTTAAATGCATATGCTCAAGTTGACAAGGTTAGTTTTAAGTAAATTAAAAAAAAAAGACAGTAAAGTTTTAAATAATCATTGCACCTGTTCATTTATTTCATGAAGTTGAAATTTGTTTAGTTAAAATGTTAAGAACTGATAAAGAAATAAAGTTTCAATTCAGTTAGTACTCTGATATTTTTCGGCTGTTGATGGAATCAGCCTCTCTGAGAGCTACCACAGAGTTCGAGAAACCTGACTACCAGCCGGCCTCAGAACCATAAAACTGAGTTTTAGAGCTGTACCCTCATTAGGAGATAATAGAATGAGTTGCCCAGTCATAAAAATAGAGACACAAGCAATACCCACGCATTGAGTCAAGAAGATCCAGCGTTCAACATCCTAAACTGGAAACAATGTATTAAAAATACATCTGCGCCAGCCTAATAGATGAGGTGATGAATATATATATATATATATATATATTTATATTATATATATATATATATATATACATATACATATGTATATGTATGTTTGTATGTATGTATGTATGTATATATATAATGCATGTACAAGAATCGAATTAAGTGATCTCAAATTGTGATTTCCAAAAATGTTTCTGGTCATCAAATTGATCTCAATAAAACACTGTTTTAATGAAACAGTCAATTTATCGTATTGTAAAGATTAATGAAATATAAAAACAATATATTTGCTACTACAATAACAGTCAGCTTATATATTTTAAATTACTGTTTGTTTTACCCATAGCAATTTAAGGATTATAAATAACAAAAATTTTTAGAAATAAAATAATTATGTATTAGGTCTAAAACATTTGTGTGATAATTTAAAAATCAATTAATAAAAATTTAAACTAAAGATATTTGCACATTGTATGAAACATTAAAATCATTTTTTGTTTAGAGGAGGAATTATTTGAAAATTTAAATGTTTTAAATTAGTTAAATGGTAACAAAATAATAATAAAAAAAAAATTATTTAAAATAATTTTATTGTTTTGTTTTAAAATAACTATATAAAGTTTAAATTTATTTTTTACATATTTTAAAACTCTACTGTCTAATTTTGCATACTTGAACATACTTGATCTGCTTTAAGGTTATGAGCATTTAATTCATAAGAAAATATTCCATTAGATATTTAGTTTAGATATAAAAGTAATTTATATTTAACTTTGCAATAATTGTTTAAAATAATTGATTATCTCTAAATTCCTTTAGGCTGTTATGATTTCATTTTACTGTATGCTTTATTTTTCTAGTTTTATCTGATGATTTAAAAAATTAAATTAAATAATTAAGTTTAAATCATGATTTTTATTAATAATAATATTAATAAAAATAATAGTAATGCAATGGTGCATAATGAGATTTTTATCATAATTCAAACTCAAATTATATTTTTTATTGAATAATAGCGATTGAGTTTAGTGATAAAAACGGAGTTTACAGTATTTAAAAAGCTAAAACTTTACATACAATTAAATTTTATTTCTAGATATTGCAGTTCGTGATATCTGGAAGTGCTTGATTTACTAGAAGCATTTCCAGATATTCCAATTCACAATCACTTAATTTTAGCCCTGATGTATATAACAGATAACAAAAACATACTTTAAAGTTGATAAAATTTTCCTTTTTAACTATAAAAATTATTATGGTTTATATATATATATATATATATATATATATATATATATATATATATATATATATATATATATATATATATATAAACCATAATAATTTTTATAGTTAAAAAGGAAAATTTTATCAACTTTAAAGTATGTTTTTGTTATCTGTATATATATATATATATATATATATATATATATATATATATATATATATATATATATATATATATATATATATATATATATATATATATATATATATATATATATATATATATATATGGTTATGAAGGGGTTGTTGGATTGATTTTGAAACAGTTTGCAATTTAATTTTTGTAAAAACTTCTGATCTTACAACCTGAACTAGCTCTTTGCAGGCCGCCTTATGCTTTTCTCCAATCAATGTGAGTCCATCTATCAGCTGAAAGATATTTGCACCAAATGTTTCTTTCTTTTTTGCTGCTTTTTCATTTCTGGCATGTTCTATAGTTCTTTTTGTTGTTTGAATGGTGTTGAAAATTGTCACCCAGTCATAGGATGTGATTAGGTTTGAGATTGCTTAGTAGTTTGTCCTGCTCCAGATAAATCTTTTCTGTTTTTCTTTTTTGTTTTTCACATTAAGTGCTGTTTGTTGCTAAAGAGCCAATGAGAAAGCAGAAGGCTTTCCCTACTGGTGTGTAGCCAAGTGAGTTGCCTTTATGTACATCAACTATGCAATCAGGTTGGTAATTAATAAATCTAGTGCTCTTGATGTGCTTTTTTCCTATTTCTGTGTGATTGGGGAAAGTGACCATTTGCATGAGAACGTTTTTGTTTAAACATTGCTGGAAATTAATGTTAGTTGGATGTTCGTTTTGTATATTTCTAATTGTTGTAGCACCTTCATCAGTCTCAAGTTCCTTATATGTTGAATGGCTAAAGTTGAGATTGCTGTAAATTAGGACAGGTGAGCAGCCTAGTGTTCACAAGCTTTTCTTTGCTGAATCAATTGATTTGATGGTTTTTTCAAGGACTCCCAGGTTATTATCATACTGTCAGCATATGCAGCCTGTAAAGATAGATTCATAGCCTATCATTATCATGCTCTATACTTATTTGATCTAAAGTATCTTTTATGTAAATGGATAAACAACCCACTTCCCTGTTTTTTTTTATATTTGCACAATATATATATATATATATATATATATATATATATATATATATATATATATATATATATATTTATTTATTTATTTATTTATATGATCTAGAACATTTTTTTCCCTTAAAAAAATCATTATATTGTTTTAAAAATATTCGCTTAAGAATGTGCCAGTGTGGTTGAGTGGATAAGGTGCCGAGCTTCTGAACAAGTAAGCCGAGGTTTGATTCCTACCTCTGGCGACTTTTTTTTTTTAATTTATATCGATTATTTTAAAATAGAAAATACTTTTGAAGTTTAATAGAGATTATATATAAACATAAGTAACGATATTATATACTTTTACAAACAAAAAGATTTTAAAAAAGCAAAAATTTCATAAAACATAAAAAAAAAACATCACCAGGAGAAAAAAATTGTTGCGTATGTGTCATGATTGAGATACTTATGCTATTAATGTGCAAGAAAATTTTCTGAAACTTATTAAAGAAAAAACTTAATAATAAAGTCCTGCTACTCAAGAAGGTGCTGCTGTGTAGGCAAAAAAAAAAAATTCAAAACTTTCTTTTGACAATTAAAAGTTAATTTTACTACATTTACTTTTTTACAATAAATATATGCTGCAACTGTTTTTTAAAACGCTTTAATATGCTTATTACGCATTTCAAGAAAAATGCAATTAAATAAAAATTGTTAAGAGAAACTCTTTGTAAAACGTTTTTTGAAACAAATAATTTTTATGAAATTTTTCAGATCTCTTTAAAAATATGTATTCAATAATGTTTGTAGACGTCTAAACTAGCTGATTTTGTAAAAAATTCAAATTGATTTTTTTTACCTTCAGGCGTTTTGAAAAACAGCTTCAGTATGAATGATACAACAAATATGTTGAAATAAGACAATTTGACACAAAATTTAAAAGTTCTTAACAAAAGCCACTAAACCAAAAAAATTAAAAGTATATATATATATATATATATATATATATATATATATATATATATATATATATATATATATATATATATATATATATATATCTGTGTATGTGTGTGTGTTATTTGTTCAAATATATTGTTTATAAAATGTAAAAAATTCACTTATATAGCGTTTTATTCAGGATTGTATGTAACATAAGTAAACTATTCTAATAATTACAAATCTTTTTTGCTCAAGTTGTTATGTTTTGATTTTTTGTAGGTATGTTATATTTTAAAAAATTGACAAAGTTGAAAAAGCACAAAACAGTGTTCCCATTCTCCTTTTTTTTCCTGTAGGAGAGCACTAAACTAATTAAAATTGAGGTCTTCACTGTGTTCTCCTACAGAAAATAAAGGAGAATGGGAAGCCTAACAAAACATATTGTCTCATCCAAGTGGAAAATTTAAAACTTTAATTTTAGATTTGCCCCTCTCTTGATATTTTCTGATGATTTCTGAATTACATCATCTGATTCTTAGACCATTAAAAATGATAGTCAAGGTTTTTTCGTAAACTGTTGAAGCTACAATTTTTTTGCATATGTGACATCACTTTGTGGCAAAAAACTAGAAAAACAAATTAGAAAAGAGGTTTTATTTAAATTTTATAAAAATACTTTTTCTATTAAAGATATTTTGAATATATTTTTATAGGATACATTCTAATAAAGACAAAAACTATTTATTTATTACTATTGTAATAAATACAGTCTTTGTTGTTATTTGTGAAGTGATATATCTGTACCAATTTTATATATTTTTATGCATTTGTATCCAAAAAAATTAAAATTAATCAAAAAATGTAAGATAAATGCATAAGAAACTTGACACATAAAGGTTTACTTTGCCACAAACCAACATCAATGTGCAAAATTTATTTCGCTTAACTTTTAGATTAGTGTTTAATATTATTCTTTAGTTTGTAATCGTAATCAAAAGAATGAATTTTTTTTTATGATTTTGTTTTAGTGGTCTAAAATCTTTTTAGTTCCATAAGTATAGTGTTATGGACAAACGTCTGTAAGTGTAAGCGTCTTTAGCATATGTTGAGTTTGCAGGCATTATATGGAATAATCTCGTATAATATATCTATAAAATGAGAAAATTTTAAAAAATTTTTTTAAATTTTAGAAATCTTTTTGCTATATTATTACTTTTTTGCTATAAATATATATATATATATATATATATATATATATATATATATATATATATATATATATATATATATATATATATATATATATATATATATATATAT